ATAATATTATGCAATAATCAAGGCACACACAGCATCTGGACCTGCATGTTCTGTTGGCAAGTGTGCCTGCCTGTTCAGAGGGGCACAAATTTCCTGGCACTGAGGAGAGTGATACCTCAGGGCTTTTTGAGGATTAAGCCTTGGTTCCCTGTGCTGACATTCTCCATAAAGGTCAGTTAGCATTTCCCATGTCCGCTGTCAAACTCACTGACACTGAGCCCCTCTCTTTTGCTAAAGATGATTCAGGCCTTGGAATATGCCCTTGACTAAGGAGCTATTTTGGTCAGAACCAGCTGTTTCTCTGGTGGAAATTGATGTAGCTCTGATTTAAGTCAAAGGAGGGGAGTTTGACAACCTTAGCTGTTTTGCCACTATATCTGTTTTGGCAAATCCTCCTAGCAGAGGCACAGCTTATATCCACAAGAGAGTGCTTTGAGTGGTAGGTCTGATTCCTGCTCCCTGTGTGAAGGGATGCAGAGAGGAAGAGGCTGCTTGGCTGATGTAACATTGCCGGTACAAGGCTTTATCTGTCATGACTATAGGTGTTTCTTTTGCAATCATGATGGAAAAGGCTAGTCTGGCAAATCCTTTGAGTGTGGGCCAGGCCTGAGTACCTGGCTGTATATTTAGATGTCCCCTGCCGTCATTTTCAGTCTGTGTGCTGAAAGATCCGTGGGCTTCTCTGTTTGTTTATCTCCTTGATGTAAGGTCTCTTAAACCACCCTCTCCCTTGTCTCCCTGCCCTCTGTGCCTTCCCAGTGTGCCAGCTGCAGTGCCATGCTGTCAGTCATAGCTTTTCCTTGTAAAACCTGCAGCTTCCTCCCAGGCAGGTCTGTCCTCTCTGCAGTGCTATTGCTCCTCACAGCTCAACAGTAATCCCTGTCCAGCCAGCTCCACTCCATGCCATCTGCGTGGGTGAAGCCTCTCCTTGAGCCCCCAGGCCTGCCAAACCCGTGCTTTGCTTGTTTCTTGGATCAAGTCACATTCATCATCTCCCCTCGTTCATGGTCAAAGAAATCTCTGCCTTTATCCACGTCTCTACATAACAATATAGGAGAGCCAACCAAAAAAAGAGTAGGGTGCTTTAATTAACCATATCTCCATTATATAGCTGGATAACTTGAGGCAGCAATATCTGGTGGGTAGCCCAAGGTCATAAAGGCAGCCTGTGTCAGAACCTGCATTTATATCCAGCTTTCCTGAATCCCAGACCCTTATCTTAGTCATTAGAGCATCTGTAACAGCTCTCTGCTTCACTTTTCCTTGCATGTAATAATGAATATTTTCCCTTCGATATTTAATATTTTCAGTCATGAACTCTTTGTATACTCAGATGCAGCTTGAAAAATCCATGTTTTCCCTTTTCTAAAACAATGGAAGCATATACTTCTGATGAAATTTGGCTTCTTCAGCTAAAGGATCAGCAAAGAAAGTTTTTTCTGTTGCTGCATTTTCCTTAGTTCTTGAAATCAGCCCTGAGACAAGTCCACTTGTTTGACATCTGCAGATAAACTGGGATCATGAATATAAAATCCAGACTTCTTACATCAGTCTGAACATACCAGACATTCTCTAGGTCAGTATTTGAAAAAAGCTATCACAGGCAGCTTATGGGGCAGGAGAGGATTTCATACATATGACTTATATTCTAGTTTTAGCATAGGAATATCTGAAGCATGTATCAGTGACTCATTTGTTAAAATACTGAATCTTGAGGCAAGGAAATTATCTTGCTGATTGTGTTCCTGTACTTTCTAGTATGCGTCATGGAAAAAACTGTCGTGCCAGACTTTGCCTCCGAGGAAGGCCATATTCCTTTAGCACCTGTTGATTAACACAATACCTTACTTTTAATTATTAAGCATGATTGAAGCCTCTGTGAGTATTTCCAATAGTTGTTGGAATGCTGAGATAGTGGATATTTACCTGTTCTGGCCTGCTGGGCTGGAAGAACCCAGAAGGAGTCACTTGTTTACTTTGAAATTCCCATTCTGATGAAGTTTGCCCCAGAAGACTCCACAGCTGGGGGGTGCTATATCTGCTGATCCGGGTCAGCGCTGCGCTGCTCTTCCAGACATCCTCAGGGCTGGCTAGTTTTTGTCATTTTGGTCTCTCAGGACCTTTTCTAGTAAAGAGATAATGCAAAGCCTCCTACACCCAGGAGGAAATGTCAGCTCGGGGGGATCAGGTGACAGTGGTGGGCCACAGTGGCAGTGTTGTGTTTGGTGGGAGACTCTGATGGGTCACGGTCCTGTGGCAAATAACAGGTTGAAAACAAAGTATGAGCTACTCAATGGAATTGCATGGAGTTAGATGACATCTCCCTCGCCTGGCTTTCTCTCCAAGACCCCGTAGTGCTGATGCAGCTGTCCCATAGATTGTGGTGCAGGAGGGCGGGCAGGCAGAAGGAAAGGGGACATGGTGTGGTGCCACGAGTAGGTGCTCTATGAGCTTGTCTGCAAAGGAGTTTGGACAAAAATGTCTCACCTTCAAGTCAGGATTTGATGGATTGGATTGGGCAGATGAAGATGTGCAAGGGACCTCAGAGTAAGCTGTGCCCTTCTGGATGCTACATGTCAGCATCCCCCCCTGTGTCAGCAATGGAAAGAAGAGCTCTGCTGACGTTGAGAATACATGTCTGAAGCCAGTTAAATCAGCTCTGTCGCAGCTCCAGGCATGTTGTAGCAGAAACACAGGATTTCAGCAATGCTGTTCAAGGTTCATGGGCTTTTCAAAAGAATTGTCAGTGCAGACCAGTGCTGTTTGCACTGCAACTGAGTGAAAAATGTTGTGGAGGGAACATAAATCAGCAGATTAGGATTTTATTTCTGGGCTGGAAATAGAACATTTCTGCCTTGTGATTTCCCAGCTTAAACTTCATGTGGACATTGCTCAATTTTTTTTTTTTTCATTATTGCTATAATTTAATTGTGGGATTTGCTCTTTGGGAACAACCAAACAAACTGCAAACAAAACACATCAGCCATCCAGTTCTGTTATTTAAAAGAAAATTTGTTAGCAGGATATGTGCACTTATTAAATTAGAATGTTTATTAGTTGCTCATTTACTCCTTCAACTATGAGAGGAAGCTTTTTCTTTCTCTTCTCTCCCAACCTGCTTTTGTCTGGGAAAGCTGATAATATCTCACTTTTAAACTGCAATTTCTCCTCCTGTTTTTAGCAGACCTGATGGTTGCAAATGAAAGGTGACCACAGAGGGAGTGGCTAAAGTGTCATTGTTGAACAGGCTGATGATTATTAGTCATGGTATATATTGGGAAAGGCTCTTCATAATTTTATATGCCATAAAAATAGTTTGTTTTTGCTCCAAGTCCACTAAACTGCTGTTTCAGCTGGATATTTGTTGCAGCTTGCTGCATTACAAAATCCTTGGTCATCTGGAGAGTATTTCTCTAGCAGGGGTGAAAAGTCATGGTAGTAGCTCTAAAGCTTTATTAGGAAGAAAGTTCTATGCTTACTGTTTAGCATGGGATAGACTAGGAAGGGAAGACAGTTTGTTAGAAATGCCACCACTGTAATTTTATCCTTTTTTTGGGACATCCTTTCTAGTTACATCATTTACAAAGCCCCTCTCAGTAGGGGCTTTATGTAAAATATCATAGGCAAAAAATGTATGGGAACATCCTCCTCTTGCTCTCCCTTCCACCGGAAAACATGGAGTAGTTAAGCTTTACATTTTCTGAAATGCTGCGTGCATGTGGCTGTGGAATTGAACATGCTTAGAGCTCTCTGAAATACTCCTCACGCTGCTATAAATATACACACTTTACTAACAACTTGCATTATTGGCAACATTGCTGTCTATTGTACTCATTTCAAAAATAATGGTTTTGTGTAATTCTCAGCAATATGATACAAACATAACCCCTGTAATGAAAAACTGGTTCAAAAAGGGACTGAAGACCTCATTGTTCGGTCGAATACATAATCTGCTGACTGCTCTGTTCAATTTGGGCTTCAGACTGTAAACTCCTGGGTCAGGTTTTTTATAATCTTGGTGTGAGCCGACTGATTGAAGCACAGACAATGGAAGGGCAATCCAAAGGCTCCAGATCTTACTGGCATATTGTTATATCAGA